TGTGTCCCCTCAGGTGGCACCGTGTGTGACTGGGTGCCCTGTGTCCCCTCAGGTGGCACCGCGTGTGACTGGGTGACCTGTGGCACCGCGTGTGACTGGGTGCCCTGTGTCCCCTCAGGTGGCACCGCGTGTGACTGGGTGACCTGTGGCACCGTGTGTGACTGGGTGCCCTGTGTCCCCTCAGGTTGCACCGTGTGTGACTGGGTGTCCTGTGTCCCCTCAGGTGGCACCATGTGTGACTGGGTGCCCTGTGTCCCCTCAGGTGGCACCATGTGTGACTGGGTGCCCTGTGTCCCCTCAGGTGGCACCATGTGTGACTGGGTGACCTGTGTCTCCTCAGGTGACGGCGGTGGAGTCCCTGGAGGGCCACCTTCTGCAGGTTGAGGGCCTTAGTGACCTTCGCCTGGAGCTTCATAGCAGGAAGCTGAACATCCACCTGGTGCTGATCGATGAGCTGCACCGGCATCTCTACATCAAGTCCACGGGCCGCGTGGGCCAGCGGCAGCGGGGGGGCCGGCCCGGCGGGTGAGCCAGCCCACCTCTACAGGACACCTTACCCATGATGCCGTGGCTGCGGTGGTGGAGGGGGGTTCTGTGCGTGCTTTCAGTGTTTAATGAAGCAGGCCACCTGGTTCTTGTGGAGGATGGGCGATGATTGTATCACTGTACTGTAATGGTAGCCATTAACCCTCTCCGCTTCCTGCCCCCACCATGAGGTGTGCCGTTGGCCCTGGTTGTGATAGGAGTGTGAGCGCCCCCCGGTGGAGGCAAACACATACGTGATATGTTACTGATCGGCTGTGTGCAGTTGCACACTGCACACAGCGCACTGACTTACAGTAAGCGCGGTGGTGTAACGCTTTGACTCCCGTCGGTGATGGATATCAGCGTGGGGAGCTATCGGTCCCCCCCCCCCGGTGAAAGCACATATATGGGAAAGAAACCAGTATCTCACCAGCCCTCCTGCTTCTCCAACCTGCAGCCCGCCAGTGAAAGACCAGACACAGCTCACCCTGCTGGAAACCAGTGGTGTGCCATCCCCACGCAAGTTCTTGGATCCCTCCCAGTTCGGCCCCCTCTCCGGCTGTAACGGTCAGTAATCATCATCAGCCCGTCGGGGGCCCAAGGACCCTCAATACTGCCGACAAGTGCGGCCCTGAGGGGCAGCTTACGCTGGAATAATTAGTGCAATAATCAGTATGGCTTTGTATCTGAGTTCTCGTCTGGACTGGGAAGGGAGGGGGGTGGGCATGAGGCTGCCTGCTCTCGGGACTGCCGGTCTTGGGGGCGCGGGGGTCGGAGTATACGTGTAACTATACGTGTAATTAAGAGGGGCCCGAAAAGCCAGAACCCCCCGTGTAAATGCTGTGTGAAGCCTTAACATCGCTTAACTGTTTTACTTAACAGAGTGACGGGCTCTCAGCGTTAATTTCATACATAAACATCAGGGGCTTCACGCTGATGAAATGCCCCCCCCCCCCCCCACGGGTGTTGCTTATGAATTAATGGGCCAAGATAAACCAGCAAACCCCCCCCCCCACTCCGCCAATGTTCCTCGGCTGTTCCCAGAGCCCCTGAGTGCCCGTCTGATTCGTGTCTCCGTAACAGTTTCCATTTGCGGCGTATTTACCGCAGCGGCAGAAAGCGCTTTCACTTCGCACCCGAGGCCTGGCCGGCTGCACGCTAATTGCAGTTTTCTCCGCATTATGTGAAAAGCTCGCAATTACCGGCGGCGGGGTCCTGCGACGCGGGGTGGTGGCGGTGGTGGCGGCCGGCGCTTTCCGCGCTTCCCGCACTGCCTTTGCGAGGCAGCTCTGCCTAATGGGGCCGCACACACCTCATTTGTAGCCTGTAATTGTCGTAATTACAGTGCAAACTACAGTGGAGAAAATCAGGTCCATTAAGTCGCCATAAACATTAGGTCATTTATGATTCTGCTGTTACGTGGGAATCACAAATGGTATCAAATAGCAGTTAGTATGGGCTCTCTGTCGCTGTTGGTCTAAGCTGATGCGGCCCTCTGGACTGTGCGGTGTGAGGGTAATGATGTCGGGGGCCGTGTGCGTGTTCATACGAGGGCCTGCTGGGGTCGGGTCTGGCCGTCGTTTAATCGCCGCTTCAGAACAGTTCCCAAGCTCCCAAGCGGTCGCTGTGGAGCCGGCGGTCACCACGGTGATTGCAGTCGGGGTTGCGGTCGTCATGTGATGATGGCGGCTGCGATGACCCCGAGCGCGCTCTCTCCCGCAGTGGCGGCGGACGACCTGGAAGTGGACCCGGAGGAGAACAGCGCCGAGTTCATGGGAATCCTCATCAAGGGCCTGGCCAAGCTGAAGAAGATCCCCGAGACCGTGAAGGCCATCATCGACCGGCTGGAGCCCGAGCTCAAGCAGATCGTCAAGCGCTCCACCACCCAGATCGCGGATCATGCCTACCAGCGGGGGGAGAGCCTCTGCCAGGAGAAGCAGCCCCGGTCAGCTGGCGCTTTGTCTTACGTAGATAGACCTTCGTTAAGGGGTTCACAAGTTAACATGTAATCCTTGGGCACACTTTGGGGACTGTCCTACCGGCAGCTGTTTATTTTTGCGTTTGGGATAACTGCTCCATGTTTCCAAGGTGAAATAATCGGTTTTAGTTCAGTTAAATCTCCCTTTTGAGGTCCTTTTCGTTGCTGGGGAGCTTGGCGATCATTCACACAAACACCACAGATTACTACCCATTTCACATCTCTGCTGTCAGGCATAAAGGAAAGCGCGGGATGAGCGAGATAATGACAGCACTCGAGAGCATAATTACTCTCTGCGGAGATCAGCCCTGTCTCTTATTTTATGGTGCCTTCTGAGCAGGCGGCTGGGGGTGGGGGGGGTTCTGGCGGGGGGCTGGACCCTCTACTGCCAAGGCCCCTTCTGGCCTGTATCACAGATGGCCTGGCCTCCACTACAACTCAGCCCCCTCTTGTGTGTGGGAATGTTACTCAGGCCTTACTCTCATCATAACTATTACTCAACCCCCTGTCATGTGTGGGAATGTTACTCTGACATGATAATTATTTCTCAGCCCCTTCTTATGTGTGGGAACGCTACTCAGACCTTACTGTCTCATGGTAACTACTCAGTCCCCTCTTGTGTGTTGCAATGTTACTCAGGCCTAACTCTCTCATCATAACTATTACTTGGCCCCCTCATTTGAGTGTGAATGTTACTCAGACCTTACTCTCTCTCTAATGGTAGCCATTACTCAGCTGCACAGCATGGGATTGTTGCTCAACTCCTATTCAGCCTTGGCACCTAAAGACTTAGATTAACAAGTCACATCTTTCAGTTGTGTTTAGCGGCAGTGTGTGTGTGTGTGTCCACGCACACACAGTTTTGTTCTCGGACACTGTTGCTATGGAAACCCCAGTGGAGGAGGGAGGCATTCCTGCTGGTGATGGTGTGAAGAGCTGTGAGGAATGAGCCCGGAGTCGACCTGCCGGCATGATGTCACTCTGCTCCTCTGTGGCATGACTATGCTCCCTGCCGTACATACTCACTTAACACCTTGACTTTGGATTTATTTGCTGCCTTTATTCGCGGAACAAACCCGGAGTAAGTGTCTGGTTGGACGCTGCGGGTGTGTGCCCTGCTGGGTTGGAGGTGGGTGTGGCCCACGTCACATGTGATTGGTTCAGGCAGGGTGGGGTTAGATAGTGGTGCTAATGAGGAATTAACATGGACAGCACTGCTGACGAGCAGACCAGCCTGAAGAAGTAAGGGGTCGATTTGGGAACCAGGTACGACCCCAGTGTTCACGTCTGTCACTCCGATAACATCCTGTAATTCTTATGTTGGCATTTCCTGGCTGGCCGACACTGGCAACGAGTTTTGTCATTTTTATACACAAAACTAACTTTACCAGTTTCTGTACTCTGATTTCCTCCTGTGAAAAACTGCTTAAGTTTGACCGTGATGATCTTTTGTCTCCCACCCACTGCCATCTTTTTATTTGTAAGTTCTTTTAAATTTATAAATCCTGGGCACCCAAGGTACTCTGGAGGAAGACAAACTGAAACCCACTGCATAATCAGCTTGTTGTATGTAAGATTATAGTTTGTTACTTAGCAACTGGTGAAAGTGCTGCGTGTGTAAACACCGAGCGGCCGATAGGATGCAGCGCGGACGGCAGAGTCAGGCATGTCCTCGGAATACTCACAGGACGGACAGCGCGGTCCTGGGAATGGCGATTATGAGCCATGATCCTGGGGATTTGCTGCGTCATCCGCATGCTGCGGCCACTCTGGGACATTCTAAATCCTTCCGTGTCACACGGTGCCATTTTACATTTTGCTGTAGGATGTTTCCCAGGAGCAGAGGCCTTGCTTCTGAGACAATAGTTTTCGGACTAATTCAGCATTAAGAAAACCCACCCGGGTCGTTCCTTTCAGTTATGGACAGGTCCAGTGGTCCGGTTGGGCACTTTGGCCCAGAATGGCCTAGTTTAATGGAATCTGTGACGTTTATAAAGTGACTAGTTTTATATGTGCCGCCGCTGGTGTTTGAACATGCATCCTTTTGATTAGCTAATGGGAACAAGGCGGTACAGCGGCCTGGTCTACACCCGCGGCGGTCAGGTCTCCCCCCAGAGCAGGTGGGGATGTGCAGGCCAGCCAGGTATCTGGCGGCTCTTCCTCTGCTGCACATCTCCTGCTGTCCATCTTGCGTGAGGCTTCAGAGCCGCTCAATGCGCCCGCCTGCGGTGACCTTTGACCCCGCAGCCTGGGGCTCCTCGTTTGCTGGCCTGCCTCAACTGAACAGAATGCACCTGATGGTCTCCTCCTCTTCCTCCTCCTCCTCCTGAATTCCTTTGACCACAATTCAGGATGTTAGTGTTCTTATGATACTACGAGCTCCTGTATCCCACCTGCTGCCATGTTTCTATTTGATTCCTCAAATAAAATAGGAATAAAAACATTTACATGGTGGCTCTCCCTGTAGTGTCTAGATGCTGTTTCTCCTCACTGACTGAACCAGAGGTAACTAGAAGTAACTTCACGATAGCAAATCTTTGACCTTGATTATAGGTGAAACTTAAATTAACTCGATAAACGTCGGTTTTATTTATCCCTGGTTCGTTCTTACCTATTAAACAGTGCCGCTTTCTCTCTTTACACGGTGCATGTCGCATGGCTTCACATGGTGTTCTCAGTGCCCTCTAGAGGTAAGGAGCTGATCTGCATGCTCTGTCTCACTCTGTACTGCCCCCAACAGGCTGTTGCTGGAACTGCTGGAGCTGCTGTTCGACAAGTTCAACGCGGTGGCTGGTGCACACAGCATTGTGCTCGGCCATCTGCAGCGCATTGTGGTGTCGCCCACGGGTGCCAAGGAGGGCATCAAGCTGTATGAGCAGGCTGACGTCTTCGCCAAGATCCAGACCGTCTTGCAGGTGTGTTTCACTCCCCCTCCCCTGCCATGTTGGGGGGCTTCAGCAGTGTCCCTTTGTCTTACAACCTTCAGTCTTAGACCAAAGAACCGATTTTAAATGGTCAAACATTTTTAAAATGAATGTAATGATCAGCGGGTTAGAACGCTGTGCCTGTCATCGGAAGGTTGTTGGTTTGATTCCCATTGCCAGCAGAGTGATGTCACTCTTTTGAGCAAGGCCATTTAGCCCCAATTGCTCCAGGGACTGACTGACCCTGCTTTCTGAACTGTACATCACTTTAGATAAAAGCGTGTCTTAAATAAATGCAACTTAAATGTAACTCTTCTGTTGGCTCATGTTAGGACAGGCACTGAGATTTGACTTGTTGGTCAGATGATTCAGCTGAGTTCTTCAGCACGCACGCGCACACACACACACACACACACACACACACACACGCCCGCACTATACTGTGTGCTCTTCGCTGGTCCGGGGCAGTGTTAGTGCCATTACTGGCTTCCTGTTAGTTGCCGCTTCTGCCTTTGCCTGCTGCTCACAGATGGTGTTGTTCCCTTCTGGCTGTGTCTTCCATTTCGTCCATCAGGCCTTCCCCTCAGTCTCCAAAAGATGCTTGAGAACAGTTTGTGAATAGTATGTGTCACATGCTTGAGGTCTGTAGTGTTTTTAGAATTTTTTTTCCCATATATTCTTAACTGAAAGTTTGACATTGGTGTTCTTTGATCGTCCTGTTGGGGCTCATTGTGACAGTACTGTTTACGTAGCTGTCGGCATAATCAGACATATCACTGTTTTCCTGATGTGCAAGGACATGATTGGTCGCCTGTGATGTATGCGCATCAGTTTGACCAATCAGGTACTCTTTGGAAAGGCGGGTGCTGTTTCACAGGCCGACTAGGGGCCTACTCTGCCACCAGTGAGCGAGTATTTGCAGGCCGAACAGGTGCCTCTGCCATTGCCAGTGAGCGGGTATTCACAGGCTGAGCAGGGGCCTCTGCCGCTGCCAGTGAGCGGGTATTCACAGGCTGAGCAGGGGCCTCTGCCGCTGCCAGTGAGCGGGTATTCACAGGCTGAGCAGGGGCCTCTGCCGCTGCCAGTGAGCGGGTATTCACAGGCTGAGCAGGGGCCTCTGCCGCTGCCAGTGAGCGGGTATTCACAGGCCCAGTGGGGCCACCTGCTGCCACCAGCAAGTGAGTATTCGCAAGCCGATTGGGGACCTCCGCTGCCAACAGCTTGAAGGGAAATTTTTCTGGTCCCCACAATATAAGCCTCAGTTTTATGAAAATAAATAAATAAATAACTGCAATACCAAAAGTCTTTTATTTTGTTTAGTTACTTATGGTTAAGGTTAAGGCTGGGTAGCAGTTTTTCATAGCATTAGGGTTTTGCCCACAGAAATGAATGGAGAGCCCCCACAATAAGAATATTTGAACTGTGCATATGTGTGGGTCTGAGTTTGTGTGTATGTGTCTGGATAAACCTGGGACCTGTGAACATGGAAATCTGGAACCTTCCACAACTGCACATTCTGTGCAGACCCTGAGTGTTGTACAGCCCCCAGCTGTGTGGCTGTGCCAGAGGTGAGGGCACCTGACCCTGTAGGTGAGAGGACTGGCCCTCCACACACCGGTCCAAAGCCAGTGCGCGGCTCTTAAGTTTCTCCCGTTTGCAGTGAAAGGAACCTGGCATATGTGGTATTCTGCTTTGTGGTGGGGGGGGGGGTGCATTGGAGTGCTGCTTCGCTTACTCAATGCCCGGGGCAGGAAGAGTGACTTTTATTAGGCATGATACAGGCTTTGGCTGCTGGCTACTGGCTCTCGTGGTGATGTATCTGTCATTGCCCCCGTCTGGCCCCCCATTGCTGCTGCCACAGCTGCTCCCTCCAGCACGTGGAGGCCCAGGTAACATCGATTATCAGCCTTTACAGGAGCACCGGGTAATGAGTTGGGATGAGGCGCTTTCTTCCGGCAGCTTCTCTGACCCGCTTTCTGTCGTGCCACGACATGCCCCGGGCCCTCTTTCTGCAGGACTCTGCAGACGCAGTGGGAGCGGGAGCTGTCGCAGGGAACCCTGGGTAATGGAGCGCGTGGCATCTGCCGCCCTCTGGGCCCGGCGGCTGCCTGGGGTGGTTGTCGGTGCGCCGCTGGACCGTGAGCCGGTGCGATCTGACGATTAGCTGCTTGCCATGCAGGACACGGCCCCCCCAGTCCAGCGCTGTGTTATTACCTTCCTTCCCTCCTGGCCAGCCGGCTGTATCTCCGCTGAAAGCGCATCCTGCTTTGATTACGGCGACAGATCGCCCGCGCCACGCCGTGCCCCCCCAGCGCGCTCCCCAGGGAGCCCCCGCGCAGATTCTTTATTTATTTGCTTCCTTTTATTTCCCTTCTTTTGGCATCTATCTGTGGTTTTTTTCCTGAGCCATCCATACCCCTTGTGGCTTCGTGTTCAATTAAAATGTCTCTTCTGATATCTGCCGAGCTGCAGCCCCCCTGAGACATGGGATCGGGGAGGGGGGGCCAGGCTGGGGGTGGCGGTTGACAGGCGCATCGTGGTGAATACCTGCATGCGCACGTGGGGTGGGGGGGGTCTGTAATGGAGTGGTGACGGGAAAACGTGGGCGACGGCCACTAAGCGGATAACCGAGCTGGGGGGGGCGGCTAATGGAGGGCCAAGGAGGGACCAGGCTGGTCTTCAAGAGCCCAACACGAAGCCACTATCCCCCATTACTGTTTTTAACACGCTCCGCAGGCATATCGATCGCTTTGTAGGTATCACGGATTTGCATGGGTGCCACCTTTGCTTTTACAGGCGCGGTTGTTCTCTGGTCAGACTCGTGATCCATCATGGTCCCTCTCTTTGGAAGGGGTCTGGGAAGGGGGTCTATCCCGGTCGCGTGCTTGCTCTGTGTGTCAGCCTACCCAAACATCCGGTGCGAGCAAGGCCCTGGCCGCTCTGGGGTTTGGGTGTGACCCCCTCAGCAGTGGTCTGACCGCCAGGAGCCCTCCACAGTCCGTGTGACCGGAGCGGTCGGGCGCACAGGGAAGGCGAGCTCTCCCTGAGTTGTGGTCTGTGACAAATGGCACGCACTAAAAGGATTAATGGGTCCCGCCTCCCCAGTAAGCCGATCCCAGCGGAAGCAGGAGGAAATTAAATAAGCACAGAGACCGTCTCCGTGAAATGAGGTCATGGCCGGTGCACCTCCACGTGGATGTGATCGGATGTGACTGACCAGGTCAGTGGTGGGCTGCTTATTTACGGCTTTAACGCCGCTGAGCATTGCTGGTGAGTGCCCCCCCCCCCAATCCCTCCTGCATCCATCACCTTTGATTGGCACCTCCCGTGAAATGGCAGCTGAATGAACTCCCCAGCAGGGGATTTCCATCCCGTGGATTTTACGGTCTGTTGCCGGCAAAATCAAGGGAGACTGAGAGGTGGAGGCTGCTGACCGTCGGGGTCCGTTACAGCCCAACCTCTTCTTGAAAACACAGACCTGACTGGCAGTAAGGATGGCACTTCCAGCTCCATGGGGACGATGCTTGTGGAGCTCTGGACTCTGTGGCCCTGCTCTACACGTTGCATCTGCAACTCCCCTACAAAGCTGGTATCTTCCTAACACTTCCCCCCCCCCCCTCCTCTGAATGGAAAATTATCCAGGGTTCCTTTCCAGAAGCTGCGTTGAACGTGGATTGAAGATGAATGGGCAGGAACAAAGCATGAGCTGGTGTGCAGGTTAATGAAGATGGGGGGGGGGGGGGGGGCTGGGAAAATACAAACAGGCAGCCCCCCCTTGGGTGTGCTGGCCAAGTGAAAAGGAGCCCAGATGAGGTGCCAGGGAGTAGCCCCAGGAATATGGTGCTTCTTAATTAAATGTGACACACGCATCGTTTGATCCCCTCCCGGCTTCCCAGCTGCAGTGTTTGGCTGGTGCTCCATGACGTGGTGACCTCTCTACGGCAGCGAGTTCCTGCCTCCCATCTCCCCATGGGCCTTCCGGAAGGATGTATTAGCTGCATCTCTGGTTGGCGTTCCGGTGTGTATCGTTTAACGCGCTGGCACGCGGTAATGTGCTCGGTTGGGCTCCTCACTGCGTCTCATTTTGTTGGTGCCGTTTGTCAAGTTGGCTGATGCAGTTATCGCCTACCATCACCAGGTGCTCATATACAGGAATGAGAGCTCAGTATTCAACTTGGGGTCATTGATCTCAGCTGAAATGGTGAGAATGTGGCTGAAGGGGTGGAATTCATGACGAATTGCTGTGGACTCCGGTGCCCACTGCCTGGCATTTCGCTGGCTAGAGTTCGCTATCAGAGGATGAACTGGATCATCTCAGATGGAGGTTAAGCTGGCATAGGGTCATCTGTAAGTGCTGTGTTCCTTGCTTCATGGCTGACTGTCAATACTCCAGCTAAATGGTAGTAATACCATGCTTGAACCAGATGCCGTAGTTTCTCTGCGTACAAACCACACATGATCTCACCCATGTCCACATTGCAAGGAAGCACTAGTCATGGACCTGGTCACCAACATCGAAGAGTTGGCCTACAGGAAGGATGACAGGCACCTGACAGGGTGTTTCCAGGACAGCATCTGATCTGTTAATGTCAGCAAGGCCAAGGAGCTGCTCTTTGATTTCAGGAAGCGGAGCTCCCATTCCCAAGTTGTGGAGGGGGTCAGTAGCTTTATCTTCCTGGACATTTGTACCCAGAAAAGAAACATGAAGGTGATGTGGAATAAGCTGCTGCTCATTCCTAGGCCATTTATCATCTCCCCTTTTGTGGGCTGTAGTTAATCATTTCTGATTTGCGGGGCATCCATCACTAGGGCTGGGCGGTATACCTTTTCATACCGAATACCGGTGTTTTTTTTTTTAATGATATTCATTTTTCATATACCCCAATACCGGTGAGTGTGTGCGTACAAAGCGTCGGGAACACAGAGCGGTGGAACGTCCCACCGCGGGACATTGTTTGAGAGGGGGATTGTTTTGCAGTGGTACCAAACAAGCTGTATGCGTCTGCATGAGAGCGGTGGAAGCACGGCCTGTGTGTGTTGAGCGGTGAACAGCATGAACGAAGAAAATGTCACGTACAAAGAGGAACTTCTTCCGAAAAGAGGGGCCATGTCGGTTGTGTGGAAATACTTCGGCTTTAAAAAATCTGACGTTGATCAAACAACCATAATATGTAAATGTTGTCGGGCTAAAGTTGTAGCCGCAGGAGGCAACACAAGCAATTTGCTTCACCACCTCCGCCTGCAAGCCATATTGCACTTCTTTTATATTTTTGATACTTGAATACAGTGTACTGTTCCTGGGGTTGAGCAATAGTATTATTTATGCAAGTTGCATACTTTTAGTTTACTATTTATTATTTGTTTAAATGTGTGTATGAATATACCTCATCTTGAAGCAAAGTCCGTATGGAGGCAAGTTGCCTTAGTGAAGGTTTAGTTGTTTAAGAAGTTTTCAAGTTAAACTTCTTTTATATTTTAAATACTTGAATACTACCTGGTTGGACTTGAAGTAATATTATTAATGTTTCACAAAGTGAAAAGTTTCACTCCTTTTGTATTTATCTGTTTTAGGTAATTTGCCTTAATGAAAGTCCAGTGGATAAAGTTTTCATTTTGCAGTTACAGGGGACATATTGTTTACATTGTAGCCAGCTTAAAGATGTTTTCAAGTTGCAAAACTTGCACAATAAAGTGTTGTGTATTTTGACTGCAAGTCATGAATTCTGATTTCTTAACCTCATTACAATTATGAGTGCCACTGTCACCTCTTTGTGAACAGCAGCATTTTGTGAGACCAATCAAACCTGGGTTAATACTAGTCCGGTCAATGTAAGCCAATATACTGCAGTAATTATTCTCTAATTTATTAGGAAGTGGGGTTAACACCTAATCATGCATGGAAAAAAAAAAATACCGTCAAATACCGTGACATTGATATAATTTTGAAAAATACCGTGATATAAATTTTTGGTCATACCGCCCAGCTCTATCCATCGCCGCAGCTCGTTTACCACCTGTCCGTCGTCACTGCTTGTGTCATCAGCCGCCTGTCATTGCTGGTCATTTGCTGGCCGCCCGTGGCGGCTGGACATTCGCCGGCTCCCTGTCGTCGGTGTTCTCCAACCGCTCGTCGTTGCTAATCGTTCACCCCCGTCAGTCGTCGCTGCTCATTCATGGCCACTCCATCATCACTACTCATTTGCTGTTTGCTTCTGTTGTCTGTTTAGTATTGCTGTGTGTGCTACTGGTCCTGTCATTATTGTATGATGCTGCTACTCATTCTTCTATAGACAGTCAAAAGGACACGTGAGTGAAGGTTCTCGTGACAGTGAGTGTCAAACAAGTTGCAGTTTTGCCCCAGTGGTGTTCATCACCTGACCTTCCTTCTGCATTTACTCTGGCCTCTATCCAGTTGCCCCTTATTCTTTGCAGGCAGCTGTGATGGTGGGAACGGTAGCTGTCTGTCGAAGCCCTGCCCTGGGCGCCCACCCCTAGGCCGTCTTTGGCACTGGGTTTATGTTGTCAGGGTAACGGCGGGTGCCTCTAACAAGCTGACTGGTGGAGGAGATGTGTCTCTGCTGGGATTTAATGCTGCCCGGCTCGTCCGGCCGTGGAAATGGCAGTGATGAGGTAGAGATGGAGATGCAGGCTAGGAGACATGGAGGGAGAAGGGGGGAGCTGAGAGTTAGGCTAGTGGCCCCTGCTTTCACCCACATCCTGCCATTTCCACTGACTGTGCTTCTCAAGGACCATTTAGGCAGGAACGTGGCCTGTAGTGACTGCAATTAAAGCTAAAGTCGATTTTAATTGCTAGATAAATCATTTTCAAAGGTGCATCATTCTTCCTTTTAAAGGACAATATCAGGCTTTCCTGCTTCTTTCTCTGCCTGGTTTCTCACTCTCCCACCCTGTCCTCTCTCTCGTTCCGTCTGTTCTTGTCTCCCGCCCCATCCTCTCTCTTGTCCCCTCTCTCCTTCTCTCTCGGCCTGTCCTCTCTCTTGTTCCCTCTCTCCTCTCTCTCTAATTGCTTCATAAGTTCACCAGGCTCCCTGTAATGCGATTTGGCTCCACCGCAGCCCCTTCATCAGGCCAACGCCGCTGCTTAATTAAGTCCGGGGTCGTGTTCTCGGTCTGCCGGAGCTATGCGCTCGATCCTCATTAGTGATGAATGCGCTGGCAGGACTCAGTCTGGGGCCCGGGGCCCGTGGCCTGGTGTGGGGGTCCAGACCAGTCACGCATCTCCTTTGGGCATCAAGCGTTACCTGTTGGGGTTGCAGGTAGAGGGTGTAATTCGCTGCAAATTGCAGAGTGATATTGAAAAAGAGAGGGACCCGCTTGTAATTCTGTGTCTCGCGTCACTAGGGTATGCAGGGAGGCAGAGGAGGAAGTTAATTTCCTCCCCCTGCCGTGATATGGATGCTTATAATCAGGGAGGGTAACGGCTACGTTATTAACTGAGGGTTCCCCGGCCCACAGATGCTGCTGATGGACTACCTCGACGTAAAGAACACGCGCAGTGCCGCCGAGCCCGCAGCCCAGCTCTCCTACGCCAGCAGCACCGCCGATTTTGCCGCCTTCTTCGCCAAGAAGCGTCCACAACGGCCGCGCCAGTCACTTTTCAAGTAAGCCCCCGCCTTTCCAACGCCCCTCCCACCTTGGGGAGCGGCCACTCGGCTCCCGGTGCCAGGGTGACGCTCTCCGCTGTGCCGCAGGTTCGAGTCCTCGTCACACGCCATCAGCATGAGCGCCTATCTGAGGGAGCAGAGGAGGGAGCTGTACAGCCGCAGTGGAGAGCTGCAGGGTAAGAAGGCGGGGCCATGTGGCGCGGGGGGGGACAGTGGACATATGGAGGGAAACGGTGCAAAGGAACTGGGATGGGGGGCCGGACTGGTGAACAGGTGTGGGAGGCTCAGTAGGAGAGGGAGGCGGGGTGGGGGCCATCCGTCCATCATGGAGGTCTTGGGCAGCCCTCCCCCTTCCCTGGGACTCTGCTGCCGCTCCCCCTGCTGTTTGGCTTTTTGCCCCTCCCTCCCTCCCTCCACGTCTGCCCTTTTTCGTTTCTGAAACTGTGTCTAGTCAGCCTGATTTAGTGGTAGGGAGGTGGTGGTGGTATCTGCTCTCTCCTATATCAAGGGGTTGGGGGCATTCTGCAAATGGCAGTGTTCCCAATGCGGAACGCGGCTCAGCTCATGTATACCCATCACGAGAGGGTGGGGTGAGCGGGCTGGGGTGTGGGGGGGGTAACGGGGGACTTCTGTTAGTGTGCAGGTGTAGGCGGAGGCCTCATGAATGGCCTGGGTCACAATTGAATCATATAAAGAAATGGGGGGGGGGGGCACTAATTGTGTTCACCCTGGAAGTGTAAAAATCAGAAGCTGTGCAGGAATGAGAATTTCATAAAAAAAATTAATGAGAAATGTGAAAACAGCGATTGAGGTCCTGATAGAGCCAGCGTAAGGCGAATGGACTGTGGGGGGTGGGGGTGGTTTCTGAATGGCAGAGGCTCTGCTTTGTGCCGCCTTGGGTGCTCACCCCCCCATCAGAAGTCACTCATCAGACAGCCGCTCAGGCCCGGGGGGGAGTGCTTTGATTAGCCGGTCCCGGTGACTGCGACAGGCTGTGCCGCACAGCTGGTCTGATCGCTGCTGATTACTGTGTTTGTCTTGCGTCACACGCCGGGCCGTGAGACTCGGTTACCATCCATGGATTGGCCTCCTCGCCCACACCAACCCCCCCAACCGCACCTCCTCCTGGCTGGCCTGAAACCAGTGTGGAGCAGAACGGCTTCTCCAGAAGCTTCCTCTTAATTTGCTTGCCATCCGGATTGCTGCGTCGTTGCTACCACCGCCGCCACCCATCTGCGGACGACCAGTTGCAGAGAATATCTCCCCCCCATCCCGGTCGGCATGCTGGTGAATTCTGTATCGGTTTCCAATACGCGGCAGCCTGAGTCCTGCTGCCTCAGGGAGCCGCTGTTCACTGAAGAAGCAGGATCTTCTGAAACGAGAAATGGGGGAAAGGGGGGTTTGTTCACCTTAGGGTCTCTGTGTGGAGGGGGGGGGTGGCCTGCTGATGAGGCGGGGTGGAGTCAGTGGGTTTGCGTGTGTGTGTGTGTGTGTGTGCGTGCGTGCGCGTGCGTGCGTCACCTATGGCTTCAGGCCGCTCCCTGCATCTTTCTGCTGCTGCTGCTTTTTTGGTCATTTCCTTGAGATCTTAAGGTACCTCTGTAGATACATGACCACAGCTCAGATTTATGGAAGCCATAATTGGACTGTGAAATGTCAAGTTGCCTGGGAAAGGTAGAGCGTGTTTGAAAATTACACCCAGGGAAAGTGCTTGGTGGGCCATCTTTGGGGCAGTCGGCCATCGATCGTCTCTGTCGTCCCGTAAATGCCATTAGGAGGATGGAGGGTCACACGACCCCCACATTGGTGGCAGTGCCTCTCCCCTGACCCGTGTGCGCTCCCGACTCGGGTCGCTGGGCAGAGCAGCAATGGAGGACCGGTCCAATCTAGGGAGTGTAGATCTATTCTGTCCTTTGTTTTGGTCTCTGGGGCCAAGCTTACAATGACGCTGGGAATCGGGCAGTCAGAGGTGTCACTTGAGCAGAACGTCTGTGTGCCTGGCTCCAATGACAGCAAACAGTCCCAGTCCTCACGCCGAGATCCGTGTGTGTGTGTGTGAGCAGGACAGGCGCCCCCTGTCTCTCTAGGTGGGGACAGCGTCTCTTGTTCTGCCATATAGCACTGGGAGGGTCATGAGCACCCGATTTGACCTGCTGTACCAGAGCCACCTGCAGGGGAGGTGGGGCTTCTTTTGTTTTCATTTCCTTTCTGCATGGGGACCAATCATGTTCAGGGGGCGGGGTTTCTCATTACAGAAGCTGACAGCATGGATTCACTCCCCTGTACCTACCTCACACCTTGATGAAATGAAAACTAGCATTCATGTTTATTTTTTTTTTTAAATAGAATGAAGGCAAGGAAGAAACGTGAGACTGGTATGACTGCCTGCCTGTGTGTGTGTGTGTGTGTGTGTGTGTGTGTGTGTGTGCGCGCCTGTGTGTTGGTGCGTGTGTCTGGCCCCCGCATGCCAGCCAGCGGAGGTCCATCGGGGCCTCTTTCTGCTGCTACTACTACTAATCACCAGCCCCTGCAGCTATGCTGGGGAAGCCCCACTAATTTTAATCAGTGGGAAGCTGTCATCATGGGGGCAGGCAGCGCCTGCGGTGTGTTTACCTTTAATCTCGCCGGGCCTGATTGAGGGTGGGTTGGGGGCTCGTCGCGGCGGGTTTGAATTGGCACGCTCGTGGATTAGAGCCTCTGAAGTTTGGAGATTGCTGCAGCTGGCCCCACCATCGTGCGGTCACTTCGCAGTAAAGCCTGTTTGCACCTAGGGGGCACCAGATCGCTGATTAGGCTGCCTTGTGAGGGCCTCTCAGGAATCAGAAGGAAGCTCTCAACACTGCCGACCTACGGCCCAGGCCGCTGTTGCTCCCTTTTTTCCAGTTTGCTGTAGTATTTCATTTGAATTATTTTCCTCCCTTTGCTCTGATTGGCCCATTCCTTTGTCTCTTGAATGAGACTTTGTCCTGATTGGACACTAAGGAGTGAATTTTAGTATGGCAAATTGCAGTTGATTCGTGCAGGACTCCTGCAGGGTTGTGGCTTTCAGTACTTGCTCTCGGTCCCTGAACTGGAGCACCACATTTACGTAATGGAGCTCACCAAGGCTTTCGCATGCCGGCCTCAGGTGGTGGGGGGACTGAATTACAGCCACCTTCTCAAACTTGATGACTGGCCTGTGTGAGTTGTTGTGTTAGGAACCAGGTATTTAAATGGCTAAATGGACAGTGGGGTTTCTGCAGAAAGGATGGCGACAAGCAAACGCAGTATGTGTGAGCGTGGTGGGGCGTGATGTGAGTGTTTGTGTGTGTGCGTGTGCGCCGCACGCACGTGAGTACCAGCCGTGTGCCCATTCCACACCTCTGACCCCCCCACAGAGAGAGACTGCGCCCAGTAATTAATCCAACTCAATTTACAAGTTTCACCATGAGGTGCTGTCGACGTGTTCCCTGGTCGGTTCCTCCTGTCGCGGAGCTGGGGACTCATCCCCTTCCTCAAATTAATTTTAATAATGGAAGGAGCTCATTCGGAGCCAATCAGACGCAGAGACTCTGCACTGCAATTCTAATGGGTGCTTCATGAATTATTGAATTGACTGTGATCTTATTAACGTTGAGGTTCTGCTCATCAGAACTTGCCTCTCCTCTGCGAATGCATTCAGACACACACACACACACACACACACACACACACACACACACTGTGAGCTGACCTTTGCGTAGCTCTGTAGACTCATTCCTTCCATTCTTTCCTTGGTGTCTTCTTGGCATGCAGGCATAGCGCCACCTAAAGGTCAGCTGTGTATATGTATTGTGCTCCCGTTCTGGTAAAGGGGCATCAGCTGCTTGGGATTATGGGAAATCTCATGAGCTGTAGAGGAGCAGGTTTGTCTCCTGGGTGTCATAGAGGGAGACCCGCGACCTGGACGTGTAATTCCCTATGTGACTTGCGTGTTACCGTGCTTGTTGATTGTGTGTGCGCTGTTGTTTCTCGCCCACGTGTTCCAAGCTGTGTGTCTGTAGATGGGACTGGGACAGGGTGGGGGGGGGGGCTCCCCCAACCCCCAGGGCATAGAGCAGCGCGGATCAGACTTGCCTGTAATCAAACCCAGCAAAGTGTGCCTAATACAATTTCACTAAGTCACCGTGCGCGTAGCTCTACAGAGTGGAAGTTGGATTTGCCTGAATAATGGTGGGGTGGTGAGGGGGGGAGGGGGTTGGTGAGGGTCTCCTGGCCTGCCCCTCCTCCCCCCATGTAACTGAGGAGTGGAACATCCATACAGCTAATCCTGGATTATCTTTCATGCACCCCCTAGGCCCAACTTCGAAAGGTCACTATGCAGCCCCCCCCCCATCACACACACATACACATACACAGACATACACACCAGTTGTGCTCTGTCTCTGGCCAGGCATCTGGATAGACAGACACTTTGCCTAGATGGGTGGATCCAGGGTCGTATCACTTTCTCGTCTGTCTGTCTGTGTGTGTTTATCAGTCGTCGTTATCATGCCTTTTGGCCATGGGATGGGAACCAGCAGTATTCACGGACCTTGTTAAAACATGAGGTTCCAGGCCCCATTTTGCCGCCTGCGGGTCCCCGTCAGCCAGGGACATGGGGGACCGTCGCTGATCTTGATAGACGTGCCAGATAAGCAGAAGCCCGCAGCAGCTCGAGCTCCTGCACCTTTAACAACCAGATATCGATTTGCTGAAGGTGTTGAGAAAACCTTCTGCTGACACAGTGGGGCTTTTCTGCAGAATTACTGGGGGTGGGGGGTGGGACGGGCAGGCTGTCGGGTGGTTAAAGATTACATCTTGTGATCTGAAGGTTACTGATTCGAGCCACAGCAGGAGCATGCTGTTGTACCCTTGAGCTCTGGGGCTTTCCTGTCGTTTAGCGGAGCCTGTCAATGGGGGCGGCGGGACCGTCAGGGCTGCACGGTTTCTTTGGGCAGCTTGGCCGCACCGCAGAGGTTAATTATTTTCCGAACTTGGCCATGTTCTTATTTTTGCTCGCATTTACTGCGTCGCCGAGCAGCTCTGGAGCCGCATTGTTTCAGTGCCCTAATTGAGTCTTAATTGAATGAGCTCTCGGAGTGGGGCCAGCTTTGCTTAGCAACACGAGGCATTCCACAGGGAATCTAGGGAGGGGCGCGGGGGGGGGGGGGGGGTTAGGTGGTGGATGGGGGCGGCTAAAAGCTTCCAGGCATCGGCGAACATGGTCAGCGACCCTACTAACAAGGCCTGATGTGCGTGACACTCCGCTCCTGTGGGGCGCAGGACCAGCATCAGCCTCTGGGAGGCGTGCTGTTGTGGGGGTGGGCGTGGGGGGGACTCGGGTTTGCACAGTGGGTTTGGGTTTGACCAGCTAAACGAGGAACTTTGTACACATTCATGCGTGTTCTGTACATGAAACTGGCAATTGCAAATTTAAAAGCAATGCATTTTCAAGACATGTATTTCCTCAGGTTTTATTAGTCCAGGCAATGCATCTTGTTGGGGGGGGGGAGGAGGGGGCTGCTCATATGTGGGGTTCCCCCCCCAGCTTGGTGTCAGGTGGTGTTATTATTGCTGTTATTCCTGTATGCATTGACCCGTCCGGGTGACGCGGGGGGGTCCTTCTCATCCTGCGCATGCCCCCTTTGCCTCCTGGGGGGGGGCATGGATTACTTCGGCATGGCTGGAGTTAATGAGAATCGGCAGTGGGCTTGGTGCTCACACCCTCAGTTCTCGTGGTTCCTCATTAACCCAGTTAGTGAGCGGGTCGCCACCCTGCCCTCTGCACCCGGGTCCCTGGGTGGGCGGGGCCCACATGCCGTGCTGCCTGGGTCTGGACTTCCCCTCTTTGCAGCTTTCTGTGTGACAGACTCTCATCACCCTCTCCTCTTCTCCTGTAGGTGGCGCTGACGACAATTTGATCGAGGGCGGGGAGACCAAGTTTGTGTGCAAGCCAGGAGCGAGGAACATCACTGTGATCTTCCAGCCACTGCTGAGGTGGGTCTCCATGACTGCGTCCACCACCCCCCCGCCCCTTTGGCTTATTAATGCTCAGTGATCCTGTTTTTGTCCCCAAGTCGGTGACGGTGCTGGGATGGACCGTGTCTCGCTCTGCCGCACTCCCCTTCCCATGCGGCTGTCCGTGTGACCCTGCCTGCTACTGCTCCCCCCTCCCCCCCAATTTGCTCTCTGTCCATAATCGCCGGTGTGATCGCTGGGCTCGTCGTGTCGTCTAGCAGTCAGGCAGCCCCCCGACCCCCCCCCACCTCACTCGGCAGGCAGCCACGTGATCGATACCGGCCTGGTCGAACTTGCGGGTCGTAAAGGGGATGTAATCAACTGACAAGCTGAGCCACGTTTGCAAAGATGAGAGAAAAACATGTTTTTCTGCAGTATCAGGTAACAGAGTGATAGCAAGGAAAGACACACGCTCACTACACAGACACACACACACACACACACACACTGAAACAGACACACAGAGATATACAGACACAGACGCTGAGACACATACACAGACAGACACATGCACACTGACACACAGACACTGAGACAGACGCACAGAGATATACAGACACAGACGCTGAGACACATACACAGACAGACACATGCACACTGAGACAGACGCACAGAGATATACATACAGACGCTGAGACACATACACAGACACATGCACGCACACACACACACACACACTGAGACAGACACACAGAGATATACAGACACAGACGCTGAGACACATACACAGACAGACACATGCACACTGACACAGACACTGAGACAGACGTACAGAGATATACATACAGACGCTGAGACACATACACAGACAGACACATGCACACTGACACACACACACACACACACTGAAACAGACACACAGAGATATACAGACAGACGCTGAGACATATACACAGACAGACACATGCACACTGACACACAGACACTGAGACAGACGCACAGAGATATACAGACACAGACGCTGAGANATATACACAGACAGACACATGCACACTGACACACACACACACACACACACTGAAACAGACACACAGAGATATACAGACACAGACGCTGAGACATATACACAGACAGACACATGCACACTGACACAGACACTGAGACAGACGCACAGAGATATACAGACACAGACGCTGAGACATATACACAGACAGACACATGCACACTGACACAGACACTGAGACAGACACACAGAGATATACAGACACAGACGCTGAGACACATACACAGACAGACACATGCACACTGAGACAGACACTGAGACAGACACACAGAGATATACAGACACAGACGCTGAGACACATACACAGACAGACACATGCACACTGACACACAGACACTGAGACAGACGCACAGACAAAGCCGGAAGCCCCCTGCCATCTTGCTAACGCGTGCCATGCTTGGGCGCCAGCCTAATTTGGTGATATTTGAGTGATATTTACAGCCAGCTAAGCACTTTAATAAGGTATCCAGGCTCACCCACCGCCCTTCCGTTCTGAACCTCCCAGTGTCTGTCTGTGTGTGTTTGGTGGGTGACCTTTGGCCCTTGACTCCTGCGTACCGAGGCTGCCCGGGGGATGCCGACCTTGCCCCCCGCCTGCCACAGTCCAGCCTCCCTATGGAGGTGCTGGTGACCTTTCACCTCGGCCTCATCTGTCCTGTGCAGTAGCTAGCTTTGGACCTCCGTCTGCACGGCCATTGATAGTGCAGAGTGAGGGCTGTGTGTCGCCGTCGTGACTCTATGCCTCTTCCTGTCTGCATGGTGTTGACTCACTCTCGTCGGCTGAGACTCACTGTGAGTCTGGGCCTGTTATTCGCACACGCAGCGGGCAGCGTGGTTGGGGCTTTAAGGCGTCGTTCCGGGGGGGGGTCTCTCTGTATGCTTGTGCCCAAGCCTCCTCCCCTCTCAGTTGATATTCAGCCAGAGCATCCCAGCAGTCATCTCCAGCTACCTTTGATTCTGCAGCCTTTCCAGGTCGCCGAGTTGATTGCCGATAATAACATTGTTTGATTGCTGGAGTGGAGAAGTAATAGATTGATCCGGAGGCTCTTTCGATCGCGCCTTAGAAGCAGAGAAACCTCTCATGTTTGTTCTGGGGGTGGGGGAGTGTTCACCTCCCCGCTACCTGCTTTAGATTGTGGCAGGTTGAGTAAACATCTTCCAGGTCTGTGCTGATTACATTCGTCTTACTGCAGGTTCACTCGAGTTCTCGGTTTGCCCACAGAATCGTGGTGCCACACTGCGGTTCCGTAGGTCCGGGTTTGGTCCAGACCATAAGCAGGCCCCATGGGACTTTCTCATGAGACTAATTACTTGAGAGGGGCTCATCCATCTTCCTGGTTGGTTGCACCTAATTAATGTCTCAGGTAGGCCTCAGTTTGGTCGCATTCATCCACAAATGGGATTAAATAAGAATCTTAGGACTTAATGGTCATTTTGGGGTAGAGACGTTTGCGTGAGGATGCCGTAACGCGGTGCACTGCCACACGGGGGTGTCGGGAGCAGGCTGAGGGGACGCAGACGGCTCATTAATCCTCCACATGAGCCACTCTGTAGCTTGTTAGGGAGCCTGCAGCGGTGAGCTTCAGCCACTGGAGGCCGGGCCTAGCTCTGCCCAGTGCCCCGGCAACACTCAATGCTCACGGCTTTGCGTAGAGTCTGGCTTGTACCACGTGTGGGCCTTTAGGGGGCGCCGGCCACGGAATACCAACTGGTATGTGGCCTACTACACACCAACACGCCCTGCATGCCAGCTGCACCTTCATACCCTGTGTTCCCAGCACGTCCTGCACGGCCCCATGCCCAGCGTGCCCGGCACGGCCCCATGCCCAGCGTGCCCGGCACGGCCCCATGCCCAGCGTGCCCCCCCCCCCCCCCCGCTGAGACAATGCGGAGATGCGTTGTTCGGTACGCGCCCTTGGCCATTATGCACCCTAGAGCTAAGCAGCCTCTCACCTTATTTGAAGGCTGCTCATGCCCACACCTGCCCGTGCCCACACCTGCCTGTGCCACCCACGGGGGGCCGCATGCTAATCCTCGCAGCGTGGCCAATTACCCCCCCTCCCGTCAGCGGTGAGTCACCGCCTCACTGGCCTTTACCGTGACATTGCTGTTGCTCTGCTTTCATTAGCGTTTCCCTCCAGAGTAGCTGAAATAATGAAGCTCTGCACTGCCTCTGTTTGGCTCCCCGGTTGCTGGGGGGGGGGGGGAGCAAGGGGGGTTAAGGTCAACCTCATACAGGGAGCACAGCGGTCTGCCCAGTAATGGCTCCCTTTGATTATGTCCAGTGAGACGTACGGCTGCCATTGATCGACATGGGTCAAAGGGCGTCAGCTATCCACGCCGGTCACATGGCTATACACCCCTCCCCCCGCCTGCCCAGTTACCGTTGTCATAACCTGACACGTGCATGTGGCTCATAGACGCGAACACGCTGATGCCTGTTAGCTCGTCTTTAGCATGTCACGGGAGGGAGGTTCATTACGCAGCACAGTTACAGCGTTTCTCTTCCAGCCCCATGTGTCTGCTCTGCTCTGCTGACACAAGCGGCTCTGTCTACTTAGCAGCTTCATTATCGGCTACGTGTAGCATTAGCGACGGATTGAAGGACCGCCTGTTGGACCTGTGTGCGATTATCGGTGGCTACACGTAGCATTAGCACTTATTGTTGGGTACGTGTAGCATTAGCTGCAGATTGAAGGACCGCCTGTTGGACCTCTTTGGGCTTATTGGTGGCTACATGTAGCATTAGTATTGATTGTTGGGTACGTGTAGCATTAGCGGCAATTGAATCTTGATCCTTATTCATGGTGTTCATCTTCTCATAGTCCTTAAAATTTGGCGGGATGAGCCTGTAATTTCGGCATTTGATGTGGCCTTGTTCGCTGTGATTAATGACACCCTCTACATGGGTTTGCGTTACTGCAGCTGCACAGACGGAAACGGCCTGCATTTAAAACTGCCCTGGGTGGTTCGGCTCGGCCAGGCCAATGCTCCCATGCAGGGGGCCCTGTGGCGCGGGGGGGCGGGAGTGTTCAGGCATGTTGCTAACTCATGCACTGAACGACGCTCCTGAGGGTCATTAAGGCGTGCTGAGATTTTAATTGCTTTGCGTGTGTTTACCTTCAGCTTGTTAATTCGGTAGCGAAATGCTGTCGGTGACTTGCGGAAGGTCTAGGGTACCGTGGTCGGAGGGGGAGAGGGTCTAGGCCTTGCGTCGTGTCTTGGAGGCCATGTGGATTGGGGTTCGGGGGGGGGGGGGCTGCTTGGGGTAGGGTACAGATGGACCTGAGCTATTCTAACAAGCTGCTCAATCACAAAAGGGTTGAGAAAGAGAGGTGTTTTGTAATTATCTCTCATTAATTAGCATGGTGAACAGAATTCTCCTCCTCCTTCTGGTCCAGTTCTCTCTCTCTCATACACCCCCCCCACCCCCCCGAGTTGGGGTGGTGTTGTGGTGTCACTGGTTAGGTTTGTGGGGGGAGCACTGACTTCATTTTTAAAATTAATAAACTAATTGAAATGCCGGCTTCCATAAATTGCCTTTCTAAATAAAGCAGAGTTATTAGTAACTGCTATCTTGTTGAGCGTCTGACTCTAATGTCCGGCAGGCTGCGTTTTTGCCTGTATCTGTGTTGTTTTCCTGCTGGACGGCGCAGCTCTCTGTCGGACTGAAAGCGGCCTTTTGTATTAAAGGGCTTTCAGTGTCATGCCGATTTCCATCTCCGCATCAGCCAGGAGCTATTTTTAATTCATCCTTAAATTGAGGTTCGCGTGCTGAATTGGGGTCACTTCCAACACTGACCTCCATCGAGGAGCTCATTCCTGTTTGCTCACCGTCCGTCCCTGGGGTCACCTGCAGAGGGCCGCCCTCAGGCCCAGCGTACTTTTATGACATCAGCAGGCCTCCGGGGGACAGGAACATGGGCAGCGTCTGAACAGTCTGAGATCTGGTTTAGGCCTAAATTCATTATGAAGA